ATTTGTTAAATTGACCAATCGGAATTTTTAATTATGCTGATCATCATCAACCAATAAAATCGAACTTTCCCTATGCTACTTTTGCTATGATAAATATATATAGAGATATATAAGATTATGTGAGGTTTGGTTGTTTGGTTGTGTAACGTGATTGGTAATTTTGATGATCATCAAAATGGAGGGCTCTGATTAGCTGGTGTTGACGGACGGACAAATGGATTTTAATATAATAGATACGAGTCTGTAATAAACTTCGAATCTTTTTCGCAAAAGGAAAAGCTTAGAAATATTTATTACGTAAAATTTTAATTTTTGCATAAATTAATATAAAACGTGACGGTAATGAATACGTAATTTCTTTAGCATTATAGTTCGATAATACTATAATTCCGATCTAATTATCCGGACGACCATCCGGACTCAACCTGGTACACATTTTCCAGGTGCGACAAATGACGCATAACATATACAGTAATATGATTCAATGATGATTTTCTCCTTATATGGGGTCTTTGCCTTGAAAATGACCCTACGGGACTATGTAGATTTCATGACTAAAAATTAAAGTTTCTAGCCACCCAGTGATCAAATTCAAATAAACCTTTTTTTTATTTTGTAGAACTCACTAAGCTCTACAAAATAAAAAAAAGTTTGTTTGAATTGGATCATTGGATGGCTAGAAATTTTAATCTTTAGTTATGAAATCTACATAGTCCCGTAGGGTCATTTTCAAGGCAAAGATCCCATATTGTTAATCTGATTTTTTTTTTTACTACATGTTTAACTCAATTTTTGCGTTCATGAAATCATAATGTAATTTTTATTTTTAAAACCAAGAACAAGTGTTTAATAGAGTTTAAGATTCCTTCATAAACACAATCTATACATTTTACTTGAAAAAAATTTTTATGCATCTCCTGAAACAGCAGGCAAATTGTCATTTTGCCAAAAATCGCCCATAATTCAAAAATCTACATAAGAAACCTTTAGCGCTCTAACAAAATAGCGATTTTACTATTATACACCACTAACACCTAACCCTAAAGTAAAGCTAACCCTAACATAACCTCATTTTCAATCGTTACGTACCCGAAATTTTTTGTTGGCTACACTGGGGAAATCACATAGAACAGAATTGCTATATTAAATATCATACCTTAAGAATTGTGAATCAACCTAGATTCCATTTCCACTTGTAACATGTATAAACTAATAGAAAATAATTTCATAACGCATTATGGTTGAGTTTGCCATATATTACATAATCATTCAAGAACATAGCATTCCCCTAAAATATGTTACGTAGGCGGGTTTAAATTTAAAATGCTTAACGTATTTATTAATAATCAACGTAAACATTTATTATTGCTGTTAATTACACATAAACGAGATATCCAGGTTGCAAATTTGTCAGTCGATTAAGAAATTTGAAACTTTTCTAAAGAAAAAATTACATGATAAGTGCTTGCAACAAGAATAGATGACAATGTGAGAAAGAAAATCTTAGTGCAATTAAAAGCACTACACTTTCAAGTATGAGAGGAATACTAATGAGATATGTGATGAGCCAAATTCTAGTAACAATGAGAATGAAATTGAGATATAAAGTGCCAAGTATATGTGCATTTACTATGTGGATGTGGATTAAACTAACAGTTAGTAGATATGGCACTAATGCTAAGTGAAACGAAGCTGAGAATATAAAATATATCAATTTTTGTTAATTAAAAAAATGTGGATTTAGAGATTAAAGACAAACAAAGTTGAACGAAGTGGAACTGAAATTATAGAAAAAAGACATTGAGAATCTAAAATACAACTCTTATATTGAAAATGCAATCTTCATCAAATTTTGTAAAATGAAAATTTGAATCAGCATTAAATGAAATTAACTGCTAATATTATTAGCACATTTTTATATTTAATTATGGTTACGTTTATTTAAAACTGGGCTCACATTTACAATGTCAATGCAGCAATGTCGTGACCAAAATTTTTAAGGTTAGAACTAGGATTTTTATTGTAGTTATTCTGTTTTAATGTAAGTAGGTTCTACACCTACAACATGCATACTACTATCATTATTATTAAAAGTCTATAACTCTAATCATTAGGCTAATTATAAAATTATATTTGAATATTTTATTCATTATAATATGCTACGCAATAAATACATGAAATTGTTATACTATAAATATTAAATTTATTGCTATTATTCTTAACCTTCTATATCACTACTATTCATATCCATTTTTCTCTTTTTAGAATCAATATCCATTTTTCTTTTTTTAGAATCCATATCTATTTTTCTCTTTTTAGAATCCATATTCATTTTTATATTTTGAGTAGTGTCAATATCCATTTTTATGTTTTCAACATTAATATTATTATCTGATATAACACATTGTTGTAGCTGTTGATTGATACAACTAATCATTTTACTACTGTATATAGAATTATTATTACTAATGCTAGAGTGACTATTTTTTATTATAATTTCTTTATCAGAGTTTATAAATTCTGATAAAATTTTATTGTCAGTTTTCCATTTTGTGATAATTTCATAAATTTCTAAAGCTGATGGCCGTTTATCCGGATTTTTATCCCAACACTTCTTTAAAAGTTCTACATAACATGTCGCTGTACCTTCAGGAATATGAGGTTTTAATCCTTCACAAATTTCTATCACTAAATTTAAGGCATCACCTTCATAGTTAGAGAATGCAATTTCTCCTGATAAGATTTCCCACATAATTATTCCAAAAGAATAAATGTCCGATGCTTTTGTAACCGGCTTTTCTTGTAAAATTTCAGGTGCAATATACGGTATTGCTCCATAAATTTCTTTAGTTCTCGTATCTAATGTTTTATTTATTGCTGTTGCAAATCCTAAATCTCCAATATATGCTGTATGTAAATCGTCTTGGAATATATTTCCACTATGTAAATCTCTATGAATAATATCATGAGAGTGAATTAACTTAAGATCAAATGCAATATAAGATATCAATTCTAATTTTTTCGTCCATTCCATTTGTGCAACTTTGTAAAGATTCTTACGTAAAGATCCCATTCTTGCATATTGCATAACTAAAATATAATCTCCTGTACCTTCATCTCTTGATACTCCGTGACATTGTAAAAATGTTGGATTTTTAGATCCAATATTAGAATATGCATTTAGCTTTAAAAATATTTTTATAATTATATTATTAGTTAACTTCTTTAAAATTCAATAGAATATTAAAATATCGAATCTTTACCTCTTTCACGAGTTCTTTGCAGCTATTATTGTTTCCATGAAATAATTTAAGTGCAACAGTAACTCCATTTTTATCGTTAGTCCGTATAGCAGAATAAACTGTTGCAAACCCGCCTTTTCCAATTTTTTCTATAACTTTTAATTCAATAAATGGAATCCATGATATCAAAGTATTTTCTAATAATATGTTTTTTAGATCATCATCAATATCTATATTTTTACTGTTATTTATTTTTTGAGGATTAATTCTTGCTTTTTGCAACCATTCAATAGCCTTTTCTTGATTAGGCAATGTTCCAATGCCGTTTCGATAACATAATCCAAGTTCATATTGTCCATTAGGATTACCACCTTCTGCAGATCTTAAAAGCCATTCAAACGACTTTTTTTCATTCTCAGTTATGCCTATGCCATATTGATAGCAGATTCCGACATTAAATTGTCCACTCAAATTGCCACCTTCAGCAGATTTCAAATACCACTCAAATGCCTTTTTTTCATCCTTGGCTGTGCCTATGCTATTTTGATAACACCATCCAAGGTAATTTTGTCCACTCGAATTGCCACCTTCAGCAGATTTCAAATACCACTCAAATGCCTTTTTTTCATCCTTGGCTGTGCCTATGCCAATTCTGTAATAGTTTCCGACATTAAATTGTCCATTCGAATTGCCACCTTCAGCAGATTTCAAATACCACTCAAATGCCTTTTTTTCATCCTTGGCTGTGCCTA